TTTTGTACAACTGTTTTTTTTCTTATCGTAAATACAGGGTCACATTTTTGTGTTAACTTGAACTAACCCTGATGTGACATTATATTATATAGTCAACAACGTAGCAAGCACATACAAACAACATACGGTATAACGTAAGGTAATGCATGTAGACTTATTGTACGTGCAATGTTTAGAACATTCCTATTTATTTAAGCGTAAAATACCGGTATATGTGAATTGTATCGACTATACTAAATGCAGACACTATCATTATGGACACAATGCAAATACCCCTACCTGTCGGAATGAAAATCACAAAATATCACGGAGAAAACAAACAAATTATGGCCGGGTCAACGAGTGTTCATACTTGCCTAGTATAGATGATACATACCGGCCGACTTAGCGTCTTCTCACAAACCAACAACGCAGAAACATGGACTGCTTGGGGCCGATTGGGTTTCAGTTCGTTTGAGGACGCAAGCACGCGAAACTAATGGCAAAACTGATGAGCCAAAAATAAAACGCCTTGCCCTCGACTGTTTTCATGGCTAGAATCACAATATTTGGTAGACCAGGAGCTAAGAGCACATATCTTTTTTAAATAATAGATTTCATATTTTCAGTGACGTCAATAAAGTACGTACCTGATTTAGAGTATAGTAGTTGGTAGAACTGTCCAAGAGCACTGCCATTTAGAGATCTACACTGCGATTAATGTGATCCAGGGAATACAGCAAAAACACAACTTTTCCTTAGGTTTCCCTCCACCACGGTGTGTATTCTTTGTGCTGCCACTCCATCAACTAAGATGACTGAAGGCTGTTTCTTTTTGTTCTGTTTAAAATGATCACTCGACTTGAAAGAAAGAAATGCAAACGTCATAGAAGACAAAGGCTGAGTGAAACGGGACAGTTTGAGAAGTTAATTGCCAAGCTTACGCCTCCTAACTATAGAATAGGATTGAATTACCGGTGACTGGAGGGAGGGTTGGGCAGAAATTGACGGTTTGTCAGCATATACCACACATGCAGAACAAAGTGAAGTCAGTAAAAGACATAATGAACACGCATTTTAATGTTCTCACGACTGAACCTCGATAGAAATAGAATAATTGGTGTCATACATGCAACATGAGAATTGCTGAATTCCGCTCTTCTATCAATCGACACACATTCGTTAAAATAAATATTGGTAGTCATATTTAGATGGTAACAGATTCAGTAAAATACGTCTGATTATTAATAAAACACAATCGACAACTTATTCTCAACGAATTTCGTGAACAATGTTATGGTTCATTTGATGTCAATCGGTATTACTTTGGACAAAGTTACATATTCTTTATAATAACACACATACACGTCCCACAAAATAATATCCGATTAAAGTTCTCTGTGGTGTGACGTCATGTAGTGAGCAAGTGATACTTTTGAGGTTTGTTTGATTAGTACATATCAGTGTTTGTATAGGTAGGTATACACAGCATGTCAAATATATCTGTGTGCGGTCCACGCTATATTCATGCACCTAATAATAGTGTGTGTAAGTGTTTACATCAATGCGCCAGCCACTCACAAGTGTTTCCTGTTTTAGACGAAAGACGCCGACCATCAACTCGTATTGTCACATGGCAGCCACTTCAGTAAGTCGCTGTGTATTCGAGCCATACTTATCGTTATCTATGTGATATTATCTGTGTGCCTAATCCTGTAATCGTTATCCATATGATATTATCTGTGTGCCTATTCATGTAATCTTTATCCATGTGATATTATCTGTGGGTCTATTCATGTAATCGTTATCCATGTGATATTATCTGTGTGCCTAATCCTGTAATCGTTATCCATGTGATATTATCTGTGTGCCTAATCCTGTAATCGTTATCCATGTGG